GCGTCCATCCCACACAAACAACCCCACATTAGCGCGATCTGAAATCGCCCATCAGCTGCTGCCCATCGGGTCGATGATCTACATGCATAAAGTCTAGCGTTCAGAGCCGCCTCTGCTGGTTCGGTCCCCTCGTGCAACCATTACATATCGATGAAGCTCCTCGCCAACGCAGACAGGAATTTCAACATGATATTCGTACAAAAGTAGCCAGTGGCCTCATCATCGTGAATTAAGAAAGTGTGCAACGCCCATCATCCAGTATCCCACTTTCAACCTTGTACCAAGACAGCCGAAGCGAAGCCGTTCATTATACACGCAGCTCCAAAGCGCCCAACACCCGCTCCTTCAAGCACGTCGACCGTAACCTCTACTGCGTAACCCCTCTAAGCGCTTGCACAATAACCCCAAACATAACACCCCTCGCCACACGCTCGTGCTGCAACGCATCAAACACCCTCCCCAACGCCTCCCCACTCGCAACTTGGCCCATTACACTCGTTAGCGCCTGCGGCATGCCCCTCTCCACAAGCAACCTCCTCGCTTTCCTCCTGAGCGCCTCTTTCTCCTCGTCCGTCATTTCCTTTGGCCAGCTTTTCAGCTCGTCTTCCGTCGGCAGCGCGGCCGCTCGAATCGCCCGGATGTGTGCCGCGATTGTGGGGTCTGATGTGTTCGCGTCCAATACTGTGGACTGTAGCAGTTGTTGTATGGAAAGGAGTTGTGGGTTTCCCGGGCGGAGGAGGAAGGATTTTGCGGCGCTGAGGAGAGTGAGGCGGATGCCCCAGGCAGAAGACAGGGAGTAGAGCTCTGTCACGAGGGCGAAGAAGAGTTCGATGAGGACGGTCGTTTCGGGTTCGGATAAGGGGGCGTGCGATTGTACGGACCTGCGAGATGCGGGTTTGGTTGCGGACTCTTTGGTGTCGGGGAAGGAGGTGTGGTGGGGGAGCTTCGAGGGGGAGTTTATGGCGCTTTTGAGGGAGGTCGTGGAGGTTCGTGAGGGTTGGTGGGAGTGTGAGGGCGGTTGTCCGGTGTAGTCGTCAGGGATGTCGGACGGGACGGGTGGGAGACTGATGATTTGGTCGCCGCCGAAGACGGGGGACATGTCGATGCTTTCGCGGACCGAGGGGGGGCGGCTGTTGCTGCGGGAGTTGTAGACGGAGGAGCGGCCGGAGCGTTTGCCATCGCCTTCGGGGTTATAGCTTGGGCGTCGCTCCATAAGCGGTTCTCGTTGCGGTTGTTGGTCTATTACTGGTGAGTTTGAGCCACGGAGAGAGTCGGTGCTTGTGCGGTGCGAGAAGGTCATTAGACTCTCTGTCCGTATATGGGTGGGGAGCTCGGATACTGTGCTCTCGGCGCGGGCGTGGCGGTTTTGGATCGGAGCCGGTGCAGGCGCAGGCGTTGCTTCTGTTGTGCGCGTTGGCGTTGGCTGGCCGACGACGGACTCTCTGTTCTTCTTCGCGCCTCCGAGGGGCGTTGCGACGCTGCTCAGGACGCCAGTGACGCCGCCGAACAATGCTTTGCCGCCGCCAGCGACCTCTTTCGGCGCCTTCGTCAATACATCGATCATGCCTTTGCCCATAGTCTCGAATGTCTGACCAGGCCAACCGATGCCTGGGAAGCCGGCTTTGGATCCGGGCGACTTGTTCATCTGCGACTCCTTCTCGAGGAATCTCTTCATACCTTCGCTCTCTGCCAAGGCCTTGAACCGCACAGCGTCGTTAAGATATCTCTCAAGCTCCCCGCGGAGGGATGGCTTTGTGTATCCCTTCCAGGAAGGGAGCATTGAATGTGCCTCCGTGAAGCCGCTGGCACCTGTGATGGCAGCAATCCGTCGTAGCACCTCATGCAATGTCTCCAGATCCTGGTACTTCCGCACTGTCATCCAGCCCGAGTAGTGGTTCGATGCTGGTTCGATCTGGATGAGGTACTCGGCGGTCGGCTTGCTCCTAATCATGCTTTTATCTCCGGGAGCTGAATCGTCGAATATTACGATCTTGCAGTTGTGCAGGGTAAGTGGTGGTGGAGGATTCGCCATCAATGCGGTGGGTTGTTGAGAAACTATCTGATCGAAGCTCGTGAAGGCCCGTTTAGGTTCAGACTGTGGGCTGGCATCTGCGCCTGCTTTGGCCGGAAAGGGCTCAGACAGCGCCGCCGCTTGTGGGGCAGAGCTGGACTTCGCGAGGGGCGCAATTTCGTTGTCTGGATGGTTCTCGCTCTGTGAAGAACTTGGGGTGGCAATTCCTTGGGTAGTACTCTCAGACTTGTCGTCCTGGAGACTGCTGATCGATGCGGTCCTGTCCTGTTTCTGCAGTCGCCGTGCCTCCTCTTCTGCAATCATTTGGCTCAGGCGTTGGGCTTCGCGCATAGCCTCATCCATCGCTTCTTGTGCTTTACTGACGACGCGTTTATGGTTTCTTTGCTCGGGCGAGATGGGCTCGGCCCCTTGAGGTTGCTTTTCTGAGACGGCATCCTGCACATTGCGCAGCTGTCCAGCAGATCCTTCGACTCCGACGTCGATCGCGTGCATCAATTCCGGTTCCCCGTCTTCCAGTAGGTACACGATCCAGCCGTTGATCCATTCCGGTTTTGAGCAGCTCACAGCCACCATCTCTAGGACCACATTGGCTAAGATTTGACGAAGGAAGACCTTGGCTGGCCGGCAGTTGTATGTCTTCGGGTCCAGATAGCTCTGTAGGATGTCGTCTGCGGCCATGGAAAACTGCCGTTCCTGGTGTTTGGTATCCAACATGTCGCTCAATGTGCTGTCGGGCTTCATTTCAAGATAGGCATCTACAGCTTCCGAAACAGGGTCACCGGGAGAGGCGGTCAGAGCAGCGGACAGTTCTTGGAAGAATATGATCATGAAAGACGAGGATCGGGTTACGAAGTCGACCAAGGTGTCCGCAGGTCGTTTCCGGGAAAGGTGAGTAGAGACAGATATGAGGAAGGCTGTAAGAGTCTGGCGGCACTCGGCGGGGAAGGACGTGTCTGTGGGTAGGATTGGCGAATACCACCACCTGTCCAGGGTTAGACATGTACAGTGTTGAGAGTGAACGCACACACTTGACATAGTCGCGGATGACTGCGTCGGTGAGCTCAGTGAGCGCCGATGCTGTTTCCGAGCGGAAGTCGGAGAAGTCCAATTGCTTTCCAGCAAACACCTTCACATCCAGGTCACTCTCTTGCGACTGCTCCTCTGTTCCCTTGGCCGTTGTCCGCCATTCGAGCACCCGGCGCGCGAGGTCCACACCAGTCTCCCGCTTTCGACCTTCAAGTGCGGTTTCGGTGCCTCTGCCATGATGCGCTTGCCCTTCCCAGCTTGCATGAAGAACTACGCCGCCCACCACACCGATCAGAATCAGTCCTACTCTTCCCAGCACCAGGTATGTGCCTGCTCCGAGTCCGACAAGACATGCTCCGAGCGTCTCATTGCTCGCGGTCGACAAAAAGTGTAGGGTACGGTCGGTGAGGGCTTTTAAATCGATGTTGGGCGTGAGTGAGGGCGTCTGTTCGTCTTTTGAGGGTGTGGTTACGTCCTCAGCAGTCGACGTAGAGGTCGGGTCCGGCGGGTGCTTGTCGGCGGTCCCATCCGGAACGCTCGGGCTAGTCTGAATAGGCTCGCTCATACTTTCGGTTTACGAGGCTGCATGGAGGTGCGGAGGGTCGCAAAACTCCCCGATAGTCTTCAGGAAGTCATACAAAGTGAAATTTGAATAAAAGCCGCAGAAGAACGCCTGAGATTTGGTGCAACGACATCAAACGCCCTCCCACGATCTGGTCCCCTGCGTCGGGCCCGGACAAACAATCCGCCGGCCAATCTCCTGAGAAATTCTGGGTCTTCATTTCGTAAAGTTTCACCCACAATTGGCTCGAGCGTCTCGACAATGTCCTCTGCTCTCCCGGCCTCAAATCCGGATATCCTCGCCCATGTGGAGCAATTCTGGGAGGGCAGGAAGCCCAGGAGTCCCATCTACCAGTTTCTGCTCGGCGATGTTTCTTTCATCCATGCCTCGAAAGGCCTTGTCCGCGCCCGCCTGCTATTGACGAATAACCATGTCAACGCTCACGGCGGCATCCACGGCTCCGTCTCAGCGACCATCGTTGACTGGGTGGGCGGCATGGCAGTGGCAGCTTGGGACAACAGGGTCAAAACGGGCGTGAGCACCGACATCCACATCTCGTACCAGAGCACGGCGAAGGACGGAGAGTGGGTTGAGATCGAGGGCAAGGCGAACAAGGTCGGGAGGAGTCTGGCTTTCACTACGGCCACGATTTGGAAGGTTGTGGATGACAAGCCGGGACCTGTGATAGCGACGGGGTCGCATACCAAGTTTCTCAGTGTGTGAGGTTTTGTGAGGCTGTGATGGAACGCCATCTTCTTTGGACTGTCATTCCGTGCTACATGAATGGGAGCTTCCACTCGGATGGCGGAGACCAATGTGATACTCCCTCTTGCTTTAGAATCCATCCCGAGCTTTGCGGCTATGACAGACTGGAAATTATGAGGGACGACATTTGTATCCGTGATTGCAGATTAGGAGATTCATATCCCTACATGGCGAATTCGCAAAGGATTGTTCTCCTTTCAGCCTACTCGCTTTTCTGATCTTGGACTCATCTTATAGACTAAGGTGTTGATATCGTAAGGAGATGATCAAAGAGGTAAGAAGACGAAAAAAGGAACTTTCGATATGTTTCAAAAGGCTCCAACAAGGCGGATTTGCTTGCGACTCTTCGCACCCACTTCTCTACTAGCAGCTCCTACGGCCATTTAACACTGGGCGGACAATTGGATTGCCAACGGAAAGTGTATCGACGAGGACATTTGCCCAGGTGGAACTTTTTAGAAGGACCGTAGGCGCTATGCATAAGTAGACCGTGAAGGGCAACCCCACAGAGCATATGGCTTAACAAGCAAAGTTGCAATTTATGTACTTATAAACAATGCAATGCAACAATTGTCCATCAATCCACCGCAGCGGGTTATAAATCGCTTTAAACCCGCCCGCTTGGCTCAGTGGTAGAGCGTATCACTAGTAAGCCGCTATGATAAGGTCATCAGTTCGATTCTGATAGTGGGCATATTTTTTTTTGCTTCTGTACTCGACTCCGGATTTGACTCTGCGCCCCAGAGACAGTTTCACCGCTGCATTTTGATCTTCAATTCTTTCTTTTGCACGTTTGTGGTTTCGATCTTTTGCAAACCACTCGACTCCGCTATCTTTTGATGTCAAACACCGACTTCTACTCTCATAAGATGTTCATATTTGAGCTAGACTCCGCCAGGGTCAGCATCAATGACCCGAACGATAAGGGTACGCGCGCTCAATAGTAAGACGGTCTCTCAACTGACCACTTGCTGTTTCGGCGAACCACCTCACCGCGTATAGTTCGCAGCCGAACCTACCTCCACACCCTCTTCTAAGCGATCACCAGTGACGAAAGGCCTCACTGCGCCATTGCCTAGTCTCCCCAACGCCCTCAAAGCGCCACTGTTACTCCGTTCCGAATCATGCCCAGTCACGTAGCATTGACCTTCGCTTATTCAGAGTACGCGGTCACTCGCTCTCATCAGCTTTTCAGCTGAAACTCAAGGGAGAACTGTACGCTTTCGGATATACCCGGACTGCACTTCTTCAACTTCGGAATGTCTGAAGTGTCTATATCCTGCTCACGACGACGACTGACGAAACGTTAGCAGCATGCATCTAGTTTTTCACAAAATAGTTTGGGATATCGCAGGTGGATCGAATATGAGGCATTCCTCGGCGGGATCTACTCTGCCATGTCTCATATCTACGCCAGTGAACATCTCTGCTCAAGGCTGGTCGGCCCAATAACGAACGTGAGGCGGTCAACCCTCAGCTGCCTAGAGAAGCCCACCATCACATGCAATCAGAAGGCTTACCGCTGGCGTCGCAGTCGCCGACCCAGTTGCGAGGAAGGAGCTTAAAGCGTCGTCGTTTCCGGAGTGGGAGTGAAACCCACACAATTCGGCCTCATTCAGTCTGCTTACACCACTACTCCATGTACCTTTTGCTTCTATCCTTGCTCCTTGCGCGTTTGGTGCCTTATTCTTCTCCTGGTTGTACTTTCGTCCTATCTGTATCCAGCTATCCTTAGCCACCATGGCCCCAGCACCCACCCTCCCTCCAGAAGCCCTCGAGCGCAACCATATCCTCCAGCAGATCCTGGACAGAGTCGAAGACTACGCCCCGGAGTTCGACCTCGTAGACTACCATGCGCTCAAAGACCAAGTGCTGCGCCCAGTCTTGTCGAAGGAGTTCAATCCCGAAGTCCAGATTCGCGGCTTCCTCAAAGCATTCCGACACACGCTCGCCTATAAATCCGCGTTCTCCAAGATCCAAAGCGATGATCTGAAGCAGAAGATTGAAGAGTTCTCGGAGGGAAAACGCGCAGATGAAGTCATGGACGGATCGGAGCTCGACCTTGTCGCGCTCAAGAGCCCGCCAGTGCAACATCATTTCTCTTTAATGCAACAGCTGAAACGTCTCCTCATTTGTGGGGTGGATCTGAAAGCTGTGGTGACAGATGTGTTTCATCCAAAGCATAAGCATGTGAAGAATCTTCCGATTCTGTACGAAGACGTTAAAGAGGAGAAAGTGATTGAGGTATGCTTTCAAGACGTGTGACACAACACACTTAGTGACATACACAGTGTTACAGCGACGTCCCCTTCGAGAACTGGGGTCAAACTGTCAAGAACTCCCCAAAGTACACATTCCTCCCCACAACTGTGCGTGGCGTGCAGAATATCGTACTTTTCGCGAATTGGAACAACTACCGTGTTCGATGCGGCGGATACAGACACAGTTGGTCTTCGATCTTCTCACAGGACAATGAGATCTTCATCTCCTTTGTCAACCTAGACGTGGTGACTACGTTGCCAGACCCAATGTCCATTCTACCGGGAGAGTATGACCCGTCCACTGTTCCGGAACTCAAGACCATCGAACTGCTTAAGGAGACTGTGCCTGGGAAGAAGAGACTCTGCAGGATAGGAACTGCAGTCACTAATGAGGAGTTCCGGCGCTGGGCGGTTGCAGGAAAGTCTTGGACATTTCCGGCCGATGTTATTCTTGTCGAGGTTTGTCCAACCCCCTTTCTCCCATGGAACAAGCGCTTATAGAATCAGGTCACTATCGGTGGTGTGAATGGGTGAGACAAACCCCCTGTGCATGGCTTTTTGTTCCAACTGACTCTCCCCTCAGGCCCATCTGTCATGGCGCCGGAATCACACACAAAACGCTATCAGACTACGTCCGGCGTATCGAATATGTCGACTGCAACGGTAATTGTCAGATGGTCGACGACCCCGAACACCTCAAAGCTGCCGCCGGCGCCTTTGGCCTCATGGGCGTGATAACGCACCTCACCTTCGAGCTCGATGCGATGACCTACGCAGTGATTGTAAGCCCCCGCGCACTCTTTACCAACCCCACTGACACCCACGACCAGAAACCGCTGAAAGAAGACGTCGGTCTCGGCGTCCCACCCCTCTCCAAACACGACATCCCTCCCGCCCTCCGCTCCTCCTGGTTCCACACACGCGAAGCCGAGTCGCTCCTCGAACGCGCTACCTCCGAGTTCCGGCATCGAGCAGAACACGACTACTACTCCGAATGGTTCTGGTTCACGTACCAAAAGAAAGTGTGGACAAACACCTTCAACGTAACCACAGACCCCACAAACGCCATCACCTACCCCGACGACGGCAACGTCTTCCTGCAATGGATCCAAGGCTGGCTCGGCGGCGTGATAACCGAAGTCCCCTTCTTCAACGCCATCCCCGGATACTGGCAAGCTCAGCTCATCGCCTCCCTAGGCATGGCAGCCTTACCACCCACCCTCGGCGAAAAGGACAAACCGGAGTACAAAACCTTACTTCCAGATGCCCTGCATTTCCGGCGCGGAGTCCAAAACATGCGCGTCCGGGACCTTGAACTCCAAATCCCATTACCGCCGCGCGCCGACGATGCCAGGAAACCGGATTGGAGTCTCGTGCAGCGCGCTTGGTGGGGCGTTGTCAATCTCGTGTACGCGGACGCGGAAACGGGGAAAGATCCTAGCTCTGCGATGCGGCTTGCGCTCGAGATGCGGATCATGTCCAACAGCGATCTATACCTCGCGCCGCAACGCGGGAATGATCTTGGGACTCTGAGTATTGAAGTCCTGACGCTGCCGGATGCGGTCACGGATGACGAGTGGCAGGGGTTTGCGCAACGGGTTGTCGATCTTTGGGTTGGGTTGGGCGGGAATGTGAGACCGCATTGGGCGAAGGAGTGGGAGAGGTTTGAGTTTCGGGGGATGGAGAGTCGGCGGTATATGAAGGAGGTTGCGTTTAAGGAGGAGATTCCGATGTTTAGGGATGTGTTGGAGAGGATTGGGGAGAAGCATGGGTGGACGCTTGAGCAGGTGAGAAAGAGGTTTTCGAATCAGTTGTGGGATGTGTTGGTTTTTGAGTAGGTGGGTTGCTGGGGAGTGGTTTGGTAGGTTTAGTACTGGTTACTGTCCCATTTTGTGGTCGTCTTTACACCAGTCTTCTCGTTCTCTGGAAAACTTCCCGTCACAAATGCACTTCAGCTCTCTACATCCCCACTACGCACTACCACCCCTCGTCATACCACCCCTTAACCACCTCAACCCATTCCCTATACTTCTCCTCCCCAGGGCCCCTAATACAACTCCCCTTCTCAAACCCATCCTTAATCCTCTTGAACCACCTCTCCTCATCCACCGCCTCTTCAGCGGGGAACACCCTCAAGTTCTCCGGCCGTACCCTATCTCCCTCCCTCCTCCCAATCCTCCTCCTCAAATTCTTCCTCTCACTCCTAAGCATATACTCCTCGGCACAACATCCGACGCGCTCGCGCGGAGTGCCGTGAAGCAGGAACTCCAGCCCAATAGCCTGGCGAAACACCCAAGGAGACGGGTTCACGATCGTCATATTTGTAAAATGGAGCGTGACCGTAGCATTCGGAGCCGAGACGCAAAAACAATGGAGTGGGTGCTCCGGGCGCAGGATTTTTGCGAGTGCGGTGTAGGTGCCGGGGACCCAGTCTTTGATGGAGACGGGGATGTCGGCGTGGATGACGATACTGGAGATTCGCGTTCGGAGTGGGAAGGGGACTGAAGCGAGGAAGAGACACGCGAGTGGGATTGAGGAGCCCAGATATTCGAGGAGGCCGGGGAGGGGGTCGGTGACGGGGGTGAGGTGGGGGTGGAAAGAGAGGGTTGGGTGGAAGGTTAGCGTGTTGAGGGGTAGGGTTAGAGATTGGGTTTCGAGGTACAGTTGGTAGCATGTGTAGCGGAGTTGGTTGAATTCGGATGCGGTGGAGACGGCGTCGGGGGCGCAGAGGTGGAAGCGGCGGGTGTGAGGACTCGACTTGTCTTCTGTAGAAGGTGTTCTTTCGGCCTCTTCTAAGAGTTTTTCTTTGCCTTTCGAGTGATTGGAAGAGTCGGCGGGCGAGGCAGAGGGGGAGGACGATGAGGTGGTCGATACGCTGGCCGCGCATACAACGAGACCCTCTTCACACGTTAACGCATACACATATATCATATCCCTGATCTCCCTTGGTAACCTCAGTAGCGGACTCGTCTCCACAACATCCCTCCTCGTCGACGTTGTTGGAGGCGTAGACAGATGCTGTACAAGCCGCGGCGAGAGGTACGGATATTCCTCTCCCCACATTTCCAGTCTCTGGTTCCAGGGGTGATAATTCCCAAGCGGATTGTTTGGTTGGTATTCGGATTCCAGAAGATTGGAGGATGTGGGGGAGCCTGAAGGTGCAGGAATGGATGGGAGGGAGAGGATGGCGTAGCGGGATCCGGTGATGAGATCGTAAGGGGAGTCTCGGAGGGGCATTTGCTTTTTGTGGGATCTAGGATAGAAGAGAAGGGGAGACTGCGGTTCCTAGATATGTGTGGTTCGTATGTCGTTGATCATGCTTAGGCTGCAGGTTTGTCGTATGTCAGTGATCTTGATTAGGCTGCAGTTTTGCCTCTCGGCGAAAGGATGTTACGCCCTGCATGCAGCTGCTGCTGCCACCCTTGTAAAGCCA